CCCTCCCCCTCCCCAGGACTCTGGGTCCCATGTTCTCCCTCCATACTGATGGAGGACAGACTCCCATCCTGATAGGGCCCCGACTTAGCTAAAGGATGAAGCTCCAGTATGGAATCTGGGCAGCCTGCAGGCAGTGGGGATGGAAGACGTATTGGAGGCAGCAGGGTGGTCTCTCTGGGCTCCCCCACCTCAAGTGGCGGCAGCTGTCCATCCCCTTCTGACCAGCCTGTGTGACCGAGGGGCACGCCTGGCACCATGCCGGGGTCTCCCTCTGAGGGTCTCCCTCTGAGGTTATATTCTGGCCTTCAGTCCGAGTGCAGAGATCTGGAAGCACACACCTTCTCCCAAAGATGCAGGTCTGTTCAGCTGAAACACCTGGCCTCCAGGCAGGGTACCTGCAGCTTCCCTCAGTCAGGCTACAGCATCCAGCTCCTCTCAGGCCAGACGTCCTCCCAGCTGGACTGGGCCCCAGGCTGGGGGCTGTGGGTCACTGCTCCAGGCCACAAGGACTATTCTAACCACATCTGGGGAAGAGGGTCCCATCTGCCTCCCTTCTGTCCCCACTGTCTTTTAAAAGGCTCTCCGAAGCCCCAGGATTCTGGAACCCTTGTTTCGCACATGGGAAAAATGGGACAGAACCAGGAAGAGACAGTGGCCTGAGTGCTGAGGGGCCTTTGTGTCTCCAAGCCAGGGTGACATCTTCCCAGTGTGAGCTGGGGACCCTGTGAGGACTCTCCTGTTTCACAAATGCTCCCCTCCAGGCTCCCCTGTAGGTCTGAGAGGCCGGAGGCTGCATCCCATGGGGGTCCAGTCTCCAGGAGGCTCTGCTTAGAAGGAACGTGGGCATCACTGAGGGTTGCAGTGAGAGATGAGAACAGGATAGTGACAAGCTCTGGGGAGAGGGGGCTGCCGTAAGAGCCCTGGGCCTGAGTGCTCCCTCCTCCTTCCTGACAGCCCTCCCACGCCTTGGAGCACCTTTCGTGTGCCAGCCCTGGCCAGGTCCTGGGGAGATGAGTGAGACTCACCCTTGCCCTAGGGTGGCTCACAGTTTGTACCCAGAGGAGGGAATAAAGACGTTTCCAAGAGGCGGTGCTGTTGAAGAGGGGCCTGAAGGGAGGAGTGGGATCTGGCCACACGGACAAGGTGAGGATGGATGGGGTGGCATTATGGGCACAGGGAAGAGCTCACTCCTGCCCCTCTGTGTTCCAGGTCTCAGCCCTCCCATGACCCCTGAATGCAAGGGCAGCTTGGCTTCCGGGCTGCCAAGGGTGACCACATAGGCCAAAGAGGACCCTGCCCTCCAGCCAGAGGGGTCTTTGCAGAATCCCTCAGGGGCCTTCCAAAGGCTCAAAACAGAGGGAAATGTAGACTCTGGGGGGCTGCCCCAAAGCAGCAGCTCTCAACCTGGAGTCCATGAGTGAGTGGGCTCCATAAACCCTAGTTATGAACAAATCCGTGTACATGTGGGTGCAGGTTATTCTGGGGCAAGGCTCTGTCACTTTTGTGGGATGCTCTTGGGGGGCCACAGCCCCAAGGGGTGAGAACTGCTCTGGCACATCAGGGCTGGGAGCAGCTCCTGTACTCGGGGAGATCAACCCCTGCATTTATACCGATGAGGAAACTGAGGCTCAGATGGAGACATGCTCTGAGGTCAACCTGGAAGCCGGTCTCCCTGTGGAGGGCTTTGATGCGCCCTTGGGAGCAGTGTTTCAGTGTCATTGGAGGGCACTCTGTCTGGGTGTTCCTGGGGGAGGGTGGCTGATCACAGAGCAGCTCCCTGGGCCCCATTTCCAAAGGTTTATCTTTGCACACCAGAGTTTGTGTGCATGCCAGATATAAATGGGACACGTGTGTGTGCACACTCACATGCACATATGTAGTGCTTGGGGAGCTGACGTCTGGAGCTGTGGTTAAGGTGTGGTTCCAAGTTCCAAACTGTGCTGTGCTACTGACTTGCTGGGTGACCTTGGACAAGTTTCTTGGCCTCTCTGTGCTTTAGTTTCTCCATCTGTGAAGATCCAATGAGTTGCTAGCAAGCCTTCAGCACAGTGCTGGCTCGTTTTCCCCACCACCCCTGGCTTGGGATTTGGGGATGGCAGGCTTGCTGAGTGAAGCTTCTCAAAGCAAGGACAAGCGTTAAGTCTGGGTGGTGGCTGGTTCACATTCTGAGGTGGTCAGGCCCCTCTGGGGAGCCCCTGAGCACGCCTGCTGAGTGCCTCTTCTTCAGAAAGCCCACAGCCGTGCCCCTCAGAGCTCTCCCTACCCTGAGCACTGACCCAGGGAGCAGCTGCCTGAATGGCCTGGGACTCATCCAATTGCGACCTTCCTAGCCCCAGGGAATGGCAGGTGCTCAGTGAAGAGATGAACGCTCCGTCTGAGGCCCAGGGGCAGCTGGAGGCCTGTACCACCTTGGAAAGTGTTACTAAAACGATGATGACGCCAACCCTGCCCAGGGCAACACAATGATGCCTCACTAGGGTGGCTCCTTCATGGAGGACTGAGGCTGGGCTTGGAATCACAGCCCTGTCACTTTTGGCCACTCAGACATTTATTGTGCACCTGCTAGCCCAGGCTCTCTGTTTTTGGCACTGGGAATACCACGCCAGGAAACCACCAGAATCTCTGGGCTTGTGGAGTGTACATGGGACTGGGTGGGGGGAGAGAGGGAGGCAAAGAAAGGAGGAGACAGAAGATAAAAGAAATCGTAAAATCAGTGGTTTGTCAAACAGTACCAAAGGCAATGGAGAAAATGGTGCCAGCAAGGGGCGCATGAGTGCCAGGAAGCAGGTGTGGGAGGGTTGCCATTTTATTTTTTAATTTATTTAAAAAAAGATTTTATTGGGGAATTGGGGGAGGGGAACAGACAAGTTGTTGTCCTTTTTGTTCTTCAGTCTAGTTGTGGAGGACGTCGCTTCACTGGCCCATGTTGGTATTGTGATCATTGTGCTCTTCCTGCAAATCAGCTGAGGCAGTCGCTTGCCAGCCATTGGACGGCTGCTCACGGTGGCTCTCTGCAGCTCACAAAAGCTCACGCCTGCTGCCGGCCAGCCCCACTGCAGCCTACGCCATCGTCAGTGGCTCAGGGTGGCCCAGCTCCAGGTCGAGCTGTTGTTCACCATCTTAGCTATAGAGGGTGCAGCGTCACTGGCCCTCATGTGGGATCCGAACTGGGACCCTGCTGTTCAGAGCTGGTATCCCAAGCCAGCTCTTAACCAACACGCCACTCGGCCGGCCCAAGGTTGCCATTTTAAATTGAGTGGTCAGGTCAGGACTCACTGAGATCCCATTTTAGCAAAGGTCTGAAGGGTATAGAAGTGAGCCAGGTGGAAACATGGGGAAGGGTGCTCTCATTCCAAGTACAAAGGCCTACATTAGTTGGCATAATACAGCTGCCAGTCACATATCAACAAAATGGTTTAGGTCTAGCTCACAAACCAGTCCAACGCAGGTGCTCCTTGGGTGGCCTGTTTCTCCATGCTGTGATTCAAGGATTTAGGCTCCTCCCATTTGTGGCTCAGCCCTCCCCCACCTCCTGCTGCAGGCATTTTTTCATTTAGCAGGAGGATGGAGAAAGGGGTGGTGGAGGAGGCGCATCTGCATCTTAAGCTTCTTGGCCAGGAAGCAACATGCCATCTGCTCTTATTCCATTGACAAGCACTCGTCACATGGCCCCTGTTAAATGCGAGGGGAGCTGGGAGATGTTGTCCCGGCCTCGATCACCCAGGGTTGGGCAGTGGCTTTCCAGGTGCTACACTATGAAGGGAGTGTGAACCTTCTGGGGTTGGCTGGCTCTCTGCCATGGTGTGACATGGGCGTGCCTGGATGTTCAAGGGTCAGCGCGGAGGCCCGGTGGCTAGGGCAGAGTGAGTTGGGGTTGATGGGAGTTGAGGTCAGTGATAATGGGGGTAGACTGTAGGGTTACACAGGCCATTGTTGGGTCTTTGGCTTGTCCTCTGAGTGAGCTGGGAGACCCTGAAGGTTCTGAGGAGGGCAGGACCATGATCTGCCTTGTTTTAACTGGCTCCCTCAAGCAGCCATGTGGAGAACAGACTGTCAGGGGCAGGGTGGGAGCAGGGCCTGGTAGAAGGCTGTTGCAGTGGTCCAGAACATGGAGCCTTGGACAAGGATGGGAAGTGGTGGAATCAATACATTTGGAAGGTAAAGACAACGGGACTTCCAGGTGGGCTAGATGGGGGTGTGTGTGAAAGAAAAAGGCGTCACGGCCAAGTCCCAGTATGTAGCTTGGGCCCTGGGAAGGTGGAGATGGGAGAGTGGTGGAGGGGGTTCTGGATGTGGTGACATCAGGAGTTTCTGGATGTGTTCGGATGCCACTTAGACCTCCAAGTGGAAACCCGAGCCTCACTGAGCCACAGTTCCTCACCTGTAAACTGGAGGCAACCATACTTACCTGGCGGATGGTTGAGAAGATTACCTGAGAGGGTGACTGTGACTAGCCTGATGTGAATGAGACTGGCTGGGTGTGGGGTCAAGGGCAGTGGGGGCAGCTTGCTATAAGGAGGAGCTGGTGGTGGGGAGTGGGGGTGGAAGAAGGGCCTCTCAGAACCGCCCTGGCCTTTTCCCAACTCTTGGGCCCCTGCTCCCTCCTCGCTCACTGCCCAGGGTCAAATCGCTGTGTTGGAGCTGCTGTTGCCGTCGGGACAGCCCAGCCTTCGCGTGGGATAAGCCCCAGTCCAGCAAGGAGCACATGATGGGGTTTGAGATCTGAGCGCCAGTGCTGGCTCAGCTACTCCTTGCTAAGGGGCTTGGCTCGGGCACCTCCACGTCCCAATTTTGGGTCTGTCAGTGGGCTGGGCTGTGGGCCTCACCCCAGAACTCCAGGAGGCACGCAGGTGCTTACAGGTGCCTGGGGAAGGGCAGCTCGAGGCCCAGGGGGTTGGCACTGCCTCACCCGCCTGCTGAAGTGGGAGCCCCCGCCCCTCCCCCAAGCCTGGGTGGGTAACAGGCACCCTGTACAGTACATCCCTCATGGGGAGACATTCACAAAGCCGTAATACTTTTATTTCCATCAGGGATGCTGATGGCGCCTGACCCTTTACAAATACAAATGTTAGGAAAAAGGAAGAGGGGTGGGTTCATAGGAGCCTCCATTTGTTGATGCTCTGCCCCTTTACCTTCCCCCCTTCAATGCCTCCAGACAGGAGGGGGAGAAGGCCTGACCTGGCCAGGGCTGGCTATCCCGGATGGCGCCCTGGGCAAGGCCATCTACCGGCGGAGCTGAAGGTGAGCCTGGGCCCGGCGAAGCTCTTCTGGTGTAGATGGCAAACGGAAAGGGTGCGACAGGTGGGGTTTCCCCTCGGTGACCAGTCCTGGGCTTTCGGCGCCCCACTGAGGCCTCAGGAGGCCCCCTGCTGGCTCCGTCTCTCCTCTAGCACCCTGCACACCCACATGGACACCACGGCGGCGTTTCCATCGTTGAACTGCACGATGAATGGGTGGCCCTGTGGAGAGAGGAGCAGGTTGTGACAGGCAGTCCCCAGACTTTGTACTTCGTTATACTTGCCAAGGCCTGTTCTCAGCCCTGATCTTATTTTTCTCCCCTGGAGCCTTGTGAGGTAAGGAGGACAGCGATCAACCCCATTTCACAGCTGGAAGACTGAAGCCCGGGGCAGAGCAGTGACCTGCCCGTCTGGGGCACTCACTGCACACCTCAGGCTCTGCCTGGTCTTGGTGATCTTCTCCTGAAATTCCAACCAGCCTGAAAGCTCCCCAGGGGTAAGGGCCTGTCTTAACTCCATACTGCCTGCCCCTTTCCTCAGCCCAGCATCACTCCAACAGCTGGCCAGCCAAAGCCAGGCTCCTCGCTGTGAGCATTCAAGTCCAGTTCCTGTCCAGGGACCAGAGAACCACCTTGTCAGAGACTACATTAGTTCTTTCCAGTGTTCTTGTTTGTCTGAAGCTCTAGGAATAGGTCACAATCTACGAGTGGAGAGAGGGGCAGAGGGATGCGCTGGTGTGTGCAGATCTTCTCCGGTTCCTAGTGAGATGCTGGGGGCTGGATTTTGAAGGGGCCAGTACTGTCTCCATGGGCCTGTCTTGGGCTCTAACCTACTTAGCCCACAGGCAGGCCGGGTTATATTTAGCCAGTCCCCTCCCCTGCTGCCCTAAAGAATCAAGATTCACACTCACGATCTTAGGGCCTCCTGGGAGTTTCCAGGGAAGGCCAAAAAGACAAAGCAGGGGCAGCCATTGTCAACCTGGCCACAGGTCAAAGGTGAAAGGAAATCGGAGAAGCATTCTCTTCCCTCCTCATCAAGTAGCCTCTCTGCTAAGGATTACACACCTGCCTGCTCCCTCCTACCAAAAAGGGTAACCTGGCGCTCAAGAAGCCACCGTGGGCGAGCAGAGAGAAGGGGGGCTCCCTGCTGCCTTCCCTGCCAGCCTGCCAGCCCCAGCCGCCCGCTCTCTCCTGCTTTCTGTGCCCTTCTTGGGTCTCCTCCTGCCTCCTGAGCTGGGCTCTCAGGGCAGCGTTCCCAGGACACGCCAGTCTTGACCGGCAGCCCCGGGGATGGCCAGTCCCTGGCCACATGCTCAAAGCGCAGAGCTGCCTCCAAACGAGCTCATCACGTGGCTGGGAGGGGCGGGGGCTCCGGGTTCCGATGCCCTGGGTGCCTGGACCCTAGTGTCTGCGGGAGCCGTTGAGGACCAGGCCAGGAGAGGGAAAGGGGCCGCTCTGTCAGGCCTGCGACGTCTCTGGGGACAGGAGGGAAGAATGTCCAGGCTTCCTCACCCGGGGCTGATGTGGTGTCCCTTCAATCCAGGCAAGGAAAACCCTCCCTGACCAGCCTGCACGGTCTAGCTCAGAGGCACACAGAACCTGTCAGAGGCGCAGTGGCGAGGAAAATCAGCTTGGAGGGTGCCAAAGGCACCTGGTCCAGGGAGGGACTCAGGAGGCTATTATGGAGCTAGGCCTGGAGCCCAGCTGGGTGCCTTCTGTGATCTGCCCTCTGCACTCTGTGGGGGCTCCCAACACATCTGCAGGACCCCCAAG